CACACACACACACACACACACACACACACACACACATACACACACACACACACAAACACATACACACACACACACAATTCAAATATTTTTGTTTTGTTTTGTGAGTTTGTCTATCAATGTTTCTTTCTCTCCCTCTTCAGGGAGTTATAAAGATGGAGTGAAAAAAAAACACTTTATAAAAGCATCCTGGTGCACAGTTAATTCTACGTGTCAGTTTTATTGTCAACTGGTTCTGAAGACTTGGGTCATAAGTTCAGTCAGACAGGAACCTTTTGGCACGCAGCCTTGGAATCTGAGCAGCTTCTCTGTTCGCCAAACAGGTTTCAAACCTTCCTCTAAGATCTGAGGAGAGGTGAGTCATCCACCAAGTCTTAAAAAAAACATTCCCAGTGAGCAACCCAGGTGAAAAACTATTATACTAAGTATACTAAATCTAAGTATACTTTAGTATATTGAAGCTGCACTACTTAAAGAGTGCTATTTTGAAACAACTAATTTAATACTAAGTATACTTTGGTTGTATTTAAGTTGCACAAAAGCACGATTTTAAGTGTATTAAGTATACTTTTAAATACTAAAATGGAACAACTTAAAATATACTTAGCGCACTTTAAGTATATAGCTTTGTATGTACTAACTAATAACATGCATACAATTTTAGTGCACTATTTTTGCTCATGAATAGTATTCAAATTGTATTTTTAATGTATTTCAAATYCATAAGCAGTATACTTTTAATATAGTAGTATCCTAATTATAGTATACTTTTGGTGTATTATAAGGAAGTACAATTTTAAGCTACTTATCAGTATAATTTTTTACCCTGTTACTTCGAACATTATTTGTTTTACTTTCTACTAAGGTACTGCAAAAGTATTAGGCTGCCAGGCTGATATACTGTAAATAATGGACTACTCAACAGTCCCTTATTTAWTCCTTCAGTATACTGGTAGTCTAATACTTTTGCTGTACCTTAKTATGAAGTAAATAATGTACAAAGTACTGTAGCATAGAGTAAAAAAGTTTTAAGCACACAAAACACTATACTTAAAGTGTACAAAGTATACTTGAAGTTGCACTGTAGCACGTAATAGTACACTTAATAAACTTCAAATTGAGATTTTTTAAACCTTTTTAATTACAGATAAACTATATTTAGTATAAAATTAGTTGTTCCAAAATAGCATGCTTTCAGTATACTAGTCTGGTTTCATGTATGCTAAGATTTAGCACTAATTTAATGTCCAACATCTTTATTTCTCACCTGTAAATTTACAGCTGAAAAAAGTACTTTGTGCATTAAATATATCACAATTTTCAAAATAACAGCTAACATGCMAACAAATAAATGTACAAAGTGTAAATATACAAAACATTTATTAACAATATGTTTGTAAAATTATCCCAATAAAACTTTAAATTTATGGAAAAAAATAGATCCACTTTCTGGTATAGATGAAAAATACTTCACTAACAACAGAACATTATTTTAATTCAGCATCACAGTATTAGACAAAGTGGCATTCTCCTTTCTGAAGAACAGCATCTGCAGAACAGAAAAGAGGCTGACAAGGATTGCAATGTTCAACAGGTAGCGGAATCAAGAGACCAGACCAGGAGACAGATAATATATAAAGGTAAGTGCTTTTATTTACAGGTGAAGGGAACAGGACATCTGGCTGAAAAGGAACGAGATGGAGAGGTAAGTATTTTGGATTTTGAAAATCTTGTTTCCAGTTGTGTGGCAGAATACTAAAAAAAATCTTTCTTACAGACATTCGGGAGGCGAACAGCATGGAACAGAGGAGGGACCAAAACACATGTGAGGATTCTTCAGGCAGTTTGGCAGAGGAGTGATAGAAAAACTTGAAGTGTTTACTTGAGCTTGAGGATCCGATTGGCAATTTACTTAAGGTTCTTCCTTTGCAGGTGAACGGACTTGAGGCTGCAGGCATGGGGGAATCCACCGTGAGAACAGCACACAAAAATATAAGTAACAATACTCTTTTTAGGAATAATACTTAGTGGCTTAAAACTAAGAGGTAAGATGTATCAGCGAAGCCTTTCTTCTATGTYTATACTAAAGCATGGAATGACATTCCTCAAAACATAAAGTCCATTTCAAAACTACAGCCCTTTAAGAAGAATCTTGTCTGCCATCTGCTGGACACTTTTTGTTGTGCTCATATTTAGACGTCTTATTTTGCAAATGCTGCCTTTCTGAAATTTGGTATGCTTGTTTGTCTTTGTGTCTATGGTGTATAATGATGTGATTGTGATGCTGTAATTCTGAGTGTTTTATGTGCTGCAGAACATGAACCTGCTGTAAAACAGCAATTATGCTGAGTCAGACTTGATTTTTAATAATCTTTTCCTGTTAAACAAATAAATCAAATCAAATCAAGATCTGACAGTCAAGACGCCTTATGAAGCCCAGCAGCTCGTCAGGAGAATCCTCAGCAGGTGAACACAATCAGGGTGCAGACCAGTCGAAACACAGGAGAGCAGAAACTGAACCAATCCTCACAGAGGTAAGGTCAACATTTTCTTCTATGTTGACTAAATCAGACCATCTGTCAATAAACAATACTATTTTTTAAAGTATTAACAGTGATTGATTTTATCAGGGTTGTATTCCAATACACCTCAAATACATAGTAAAAAAGAATAGAGTATCAGAATATTAAGTGCAATAATTTTTTTCAGAACTGTTTGAAATTTAATTTAAAACTTATTTCCAAGTGAATCCAGCTACTCCCCATGCTACAAATAACAGAAGGATAGCTGTTGTATATTTCACACTGAAATCCACAGAGCAGCTGCTGTCAGTGAAACTGTAAATAAGATAAAATTACACTTAGTCTTTTTAATATACATATAAACACAAATTTATAAAAATACATTTGATTATCATAACTTATTTTAACAAATCACAAATAAAGCTGTGTTGAATCTAAATTAGCAAATAATACAATGTAAACCACATTTAATTAAATTTAATCCATCTAAAAACCGCTAGCATAATGCTAATGTCTTTGAACAACACTCATGCAGGAAAAACATTTTCTCAGTAGTTTACGGCACAAAAAATAAACTACACAGTTACAAAAAGTCTTAACATTGCTAAAACGAAACAACTTACCATGTTGGGCACTGTACTTTAGTGTAAATGTAGAAAATTTAAAGACAAAATAATCAATCTGGCATTCGTGTAACTTTTGGTTTTACACAAGGTTCTTCTTCTTCTTCTTGTCGGTTTTAATGGCGGTTGGCAACAAACTATTAGTAGCATTACCGTCACTTACTGGTATGGAATGTGCTTTGTGATGGTCTATCTATTTATCAATTTCTATATATGCATATATTCTACCATAAAAAGGAATAACTAAATAAATTTTACCTAAACATACACATGTAAGTATACATAAGTACTTGTGCACAACTTTGTATATTATCCTTCTATATTATGCACACGTTGACAAACACAAGCACTATAATAAAGTTCTATGAAATAATTTAGTTTTCTTTAAAAATCAAATAACTATTTGCACGTTTACTCCCCAAATTCTTCCTCAAAATATCTAATAAATTAACCTTTTCCTTAATACTTTCAAACTCTCTACTCATAAGGATCTCCACCTGAAGACATGGAAAACCGCTGCACCATGATGCCCCCTGCTGGTTGGGTTACATCCCAGTATTCTTACTATGTATTCAGATCTGAAACTAATTTTGTGCCAGTCACGCACTCCCCGGCAAACAGATATGGGTCCCTCTATTTGCTATTCAACTGTGTAAACTGAACTCTGATTTTTTTTAACAAACAAAAGGAACTGGCATCGTATGTGGAGTGAATGTGTATGGCATGTGTGTATGTGATATCGACAATGATTGAAGTAGGGATTGAGTGAACATGTTTGTGTAGGATAGGGAGGATATGTGTGAAACGGAAATGTGACAGYAGGTGAATGCCAATCTGTATTCACAGAGTTTACTGTAGCATGAGTTGTCAGTGTGGGATGACCCAGGCTGTCGAATGCGAAGACCTGTGGAGGGTGTCTTTCCCTAGTTGGTCTTCTTCCTTAAGCTCTGGGGCCTCCCCTATACTATTTCCTTCTTCAGATACAACCGCATGCTGGTCTTGATCATGTTATGGTTCTTCCCTCTCTATTCCCTGTTTTGGTGTCAAGTTCATCAGAGGTAAGAACTCTGGTATGATTCTTTCATCCCCTCCAGGCATTGGTGATGTATGACTTGAGCAAGCATTTGGTTATTGGGTGAAAGTCATAGGGGGTGGTGGTTGAGCTACTGCAGCTGGTCTCAACCAGGAACGAGGATAGTTTGAGTCACTGTCTGAATTGAAATTTGAGTCTGATTCTTCTTGGCGACTCCTGGTTTCTCGATAACTGGGACTTCGATTCAAGTGTTTGACTTTTCTTTTTCCTGTAATTGACGTGGCAGGAAGTGGGAGGGGTTCGACGGGAAGATCATACACCAGTAAGAGCAGATTGCGGTGTAAGGTCCAAGTCTTTTTTTGTCTCCATTTTCTTGGTAAACTACATATACTGGGTTCTCAGCMACCTGTTCTTTTACTACATACAGTAGATGGCGTTTTCTCAGTAAGAGCATAGTTTTCCCGGGCCTCCATGTATATTGAGGTTTTTCACTAAAACTCTATCTCCGGACCTCAGAACTACTCCTCTGCCTTCTTATCATATAGCACTTTGCCCTTGGCGCTGGCCTGTCTACAATTTTCATTAGCGATCTGAAAAGCTTCTGACATTTGCCTGGCCCATTTTTTTGCACACACTTTAGGGGTGTCTGGCTCTTTTTCTTTAACCAGCCCAAACATCAAATCAATGAGGAGATGAGGATGACGACCGTACAGTAGGAAAAAGGGAGCGAAGCCTGTCGACTCATGTAAGGGTACAATTGTACACATGAACAACCTGTGGAACTTTGTCTTTCCATCGCTCTTTTTCCTTGTCCATCAGTGTTCTCAACATTTGAAATATTGTGCGATTGAATGGCTCAGCTGGGTTACTTTGAGGGTGGCATGGCGATGTTCTTGAGTGGTGGATACCAGACAGCTGTCTTAATGTGTGAAACAGTTCATTTTCAAACTCATGGCCTTAATYGTGGTGTAACTTTGAGGGGTATCCGAACCTCAAAATGAAATCATTGAAAATGCATCCAGCTGCCTTCTTTCCACTTATTTTTTGTAGGGTAGGCCTGAGCAAATCTGGTGAAGTGGTCAACTACAACAGTACATACTCATAACCTCCTTGGCTGGTCTCCAGGTGCAGATAATCTATGCACACAAGTTCCAAAGGGGAGCTTGAGGTTATGCTGCCCATTGGTGCACAGACTTGGGTGACTGGCTTTTTGGATTTAATGCATGGGCATCTCTTAGTGACATGGTCTTCTACATCTTTGGCCATGAATGGCCAGTTGAATCTCTCTCTTGCTAAACTGAGGACAGTACCCACATGAGCCATGTCGTTGTGCAGAGACTTAAACACTTGTTGATACTTGGTCGGCAGAACCAGTTGTTTTCTCTCATTGACATGTCTATACAAGAGGTCGTTCTCCAGGACCAACTTACTCCATTCATGAAGCAGCCTTCTTGTGATCACACTTGCTGTTCTCCACACCACATCAGTTAGTGGTGTACCTTCTTCGTTCAATCTGATCACCTCACTGATTGGTACATCAGCTTGCTGTGCTTCCACCAGTTCATCATGGCCAATGGCAGTTAACTGGTCATGTAAAGGGGAGGGTGCAGTCTGAGATGAGATGTTAAGGGCAGCAACMCAGGCCACATCTTTGTGCTTGGCCACTTTGCTTCCATCCCAAACTGCATGTACCCCTTCACTGTTAAACTCTTTAGTACATAATTTGGTGTACTCTTCAATGTCTAAAGGGCTCGACATATGGGAGGCGACGTCGCTCGCTCTCCATTCATTTCCTATGGAGCCTGTGCGGTGAGGCAACAATCGCTTGCCCTCCTCCAGCCTAGCAACCGGCGAAAATAGTGCTTGTAAAATTTCACGCTTGTACACATAGACATGCACACGCGAGCTTGCGACGCGACATGTGAAAGTTGAAAAATGTTCAACTTTTGTTGCTTTCACTTAGCGTACAACCGATCAGCGAGGGTTTCATTGACTGACCAATGAGAGGAGAGTATACTACACACTGCAGTTAGCTAACACTTTCACCAAGTGATTACTAAAAAAKGCAGCTTTGTGGGAATTTGTTGGCACCAGAGTGAAGTTTATGGTTAGTTTTTCCTCATAAAACTGTATCTTGATGTGTGTTTGTTTTTCAATATCATTARYATCGCAAGATTTGTTAGGTTACACATCCGTAATGCACACCCGCCTTCAGAGTCAAAAACCAATCAAATTTCGTGAAGACAAACGACCTGAAAGAGCGCAATTCGCTACGCTGCAATCACTGTCRCGTCCCGTATGTCRGGTTTCACCCAGGCTGCGATGACAGCCTTTTAATCGCTGTAGTTTGTCGCTCCCCATGTGTCGAGCCCTTTATGGGAGGTGAGACAGAGTGTCTGTATCTGTATTGAACTTCCCAGGTCAATTTCTGATGTCAAACCGGAAATCTGAAAGCTCCCCAACCCATCAGTGCCYTACTGCATTCAGCTTTGCCGTGCTCATCATGTAGGTTAGAGGATTGCTGTCGGTGAATACTGTGAAGTAGGGAGCATAAAACAGGTAGTCCCTAAACTTTTCACATACAGTCCACTTCGAGGCTAGGAACTCCAGTTTTCCACTGTGCAGGTGGTAATTGCGCTCTGCTGCTGTCAATGTCCTTGAGCCATATTCAATACCCTCAWCTTGCCCTCTTGGTGTTGATATACGACGGCACCGAGGCCTTGGTCTGAGGCATCCGTGTGCAAAACAAATGGCATGTTAAAGTCTGGATAGGCTAACACAGGAGGGTTAGTGAGCATGGAGGTGAGCTGTTCCAAAGCACTTTGATGTACACACTTGACAGGTGACTGAGCAGGCAATTTTGGTCCTCTGGCTGGGTTACACTTTGAGATGGCTTGTTCTTTTTTGCTTGGAGTAGCTCATAGATTGGCTTGGCTGTCCATGAGAAGTCCTATATATAAGAACAATAATAGYCAAGGAACCCAGTGAGCTTTCTTGCATCTCCAACGGTCTTGGGGGTTCTGTTAGCTAGTGAGAATACAGCTTCCAGATCCGTTGGATCGATTCTTACCCCTTGGGCAGACACCAGCCGGCCAACATACCTGACTTCCTGTCGGAACAGCTCAAATTTTTCAGCTCTTAACTTTACTCCATGTTTCTGTAGAGCCTGGAGTACTTAATGAACTGCTTCCACACACTCTTCAAATGTCTTTGCATAGCACAAGACATCATCAAGGTATGGGAGGCAGCAGTTGTCTTGTAGGTGGCATAACATCTCTTCCATACTCCTCTGGAAGGTTGCT